TCAGAGGTACCTGCCCCCATTCAGATGCAACAGTTTAACAGCCATTCACTGCCCTGAAGCATGCAGGGGAGAATCACAACTTCTGCCTCATGTATTTGCTTCCCACAGAAATGCTGAACTGTTTCTAGGGATGTTTTCCATCCTTTCCACTGCCCTATGTTTAGCAGCCGTAGGTTTGCTTCCCACCTTTCTCAGCTAAGGTTTTGGCTGCAGTTTAAAAATGGCTCTTGGCATGCTTTCTTCTGGAATGCAGATATTTTTGGATTTTTTAGGAAGTGGTTCTGCAATTTAAATATATAATTTGGAAGATCTCCTGGAAGGTGGGGCCTCTTCTAAGCTGATGGAACAAGAGCACTGAAAGGGCGAGTGGGAGAACAGCGGCAGTGAACAAAACATCAGCCCTCCCCCCAGATCGTGCCTGTCAATGCATTTATTTCTAAATACCAACTGGGGCACAGGGATAAAGGACTTTTGGTTTCTTCCTCTGCAGTGTTCAACCTCCTGTGGGAATGGCATTCAGACACGGCGGGATTTCTGCCTCCACTCGCAGACCCGCAGGCACGTGGACGCCGTTTTCTGCCGCCGCTTCCCCAAGGCCATCGTGGTGCGTGGCTGCTCCTCGGGGCCCTGTCCTGAGCAGGTGGGGACCAGGTCCCCTGGGGCAGAGCTGCAACCAGTGACACCAGCCACACACCTGACAACAGCTGCAGCTGGCAGGGAGGAGAGATACAAAAGCCTGGATCTGCCTCTGTCTGCTGTGCCTCAGGAGCAGGCAGAGACCGGCGGAGGTGAGGAGGATGCTGCCAAAAGGTGATTCTTGTGTACAGCTGGGGTGTGGTGATCCTGCTGCCATACAGGGACCAGGAGCGTGGGAGGGAATACTTCTAGTGAGGAGGGAAAATAAGCTGTTCCAGAATGCCCATGTTATCTCAAGCTAGGAACTCACTTCCCTGTGCTTTCCAAAACTCTTTTGATTTGGGAGCCCTTGGCACAGCAGCTCAAGAGTTCAAGAAGCGTTTGGACAACACTCTCAGGCACATGGTGTGATTCCTGGTGTGGCCAGGAGTTGGACTCAATGATCCTTGTGTGTCCCTTCCCACTCAGGATATTCCATATAATAGAATACTGTGATTCTGTGACTCTTCCCGTGCTTTGCCCAGGTGTGCATTTACCTGTTCACTGTGCCATGAAGGGAATGGGGATTGTTTTTCAGCAGCTGTGGTTCCTTCTGGATGTGTTTCTCACCTGTCTCTGCTCTCCAGGTGTCTGTGGAAACCTGTTTCTCAATGCCACTGGGATCATCAACATGACGGGTGTGGAGAGCAGTGACTGCACCGTGGCCATTGGGAGGCCCCTCAGGGAGGAGATCACACTCAGGATCCTGGAGAGCTCCCTCAACTGCAGTGCAGGTACTGCCTGGGGCTGCTGGGAACCAGCCTGGCCCTTTGGGAAAGCTGCACCTCCTTTGGTGCCCTGAAAGGTTCTGGCTGCCTTGGAGCTTGTATAATCTCTGTTTTACTGAGGTTTTTCTGTCCCACCAAGGTGTTGCCAGGTGGAGCAAAATGAAGATGATACTTGTCCTCCCCTCACACAATGGTTTCTTACCTGTTTTATTGATAGATATGAGATGAGATGAGTTTATGGGGTTAAAGAAGCTGCTTGTTTTGGCCTGTTATACTCTAATATACCCTCTTGCTGGAATCAGTACAGTTAGATTAGTTAACTGCACTGTTCTCATGACAGATTTTGATAAGATGGGGACAAGATGCAGAAATTACTTGATTCCAGACCCATATGAGATAAACTGTGCATTTTTCTTGAAGTAAAAGTGTTTCTTGTCCCTGTGCTCCTCGTTCCAGGTGAGGTAGTGCTGTTTTCTGGGCGGATGATGTGGCGGACAGGCTGCAGGAAGCTCCCTTTGTCCCTGATAAATTCCAGAACGAACACACTGATTGTGAAACAGCGTGTTGTGCTGCCAGGAAACGGGGTCATTCTTCAGTACAGCAGCAGAACTGCAAGGAAAAAATATTACCAAGGTACCTCATTGAAAGCTCTGCTATTGCTTTAGATTAAGGCACCCATGACAAGGTGTTCCAGAGTTCCACGGATGATGGTTGCCTATGGAAATCTGTGGAAACCTTGCTTCATTTTTAGCAGCTAATAAGCCCCTTCTTGAGGAGTGTTGGAATTAGTATTAATTGTGGACTATTCCCTTACTTTAAGGGCAAGCCCTCCACAGGTGTTTGCTGATGCTTGGAGGTTCCCAGATGAAAATCCTTAGAGAAACTGTTCTGCCTGTGTTTAATTTAAATGTTTTCTTCCTTGGAGATGCTGGATGCTTCTCTAAATCATATTCTCTTCTGCTCCCTTTGCCCCTGTCAGACTGTGACAAGCAGCTGTTTGGTCCCCAAGGGGAAATAGTGAATCCTGTGCAGTTGCCTGAGCAAAGGCAAGGAGTCGTGTGTCGGACCTTCATCGACGTGGCTCCCCAGCACCGCATAGCCCTCCGTGCCCTGTACACTGCCCTGGGCACCGAGGGCAACCACACCCACTTCAGTTACATCCTGGTGAGTCAGGGATGGTTTGGATGGGAACACACCCATCTCCTCCTTAGAGATTTCCATCCAGTTCAACCACAAATCAGTGTCAGACTCTGATCTCTGTTATGTAAACACTGATGTGAGAACTACTGAGATCTACTGTACTGCTTCTAACCTTTGTAGGGCAGCTTTTCCCTGAGTGACCAATTTGCAAGTCTCCAGTATATTTTTTGAGGCGCTTCCTTTGCAGGCTGCTGAGGTAAAATGGTTTGGTCTTTCTCCATGCAGGTCCGTGATGTGAGCACCATGAAGACGATGGTGTTCCGTGGGAAACAGCAATTCCTCTGGCAGTCAACAGGAAGCCAAGCTGAAATCGAATTCCATGAAAATGTTAAGGATCACCTGACCAATTTCTGGGCTGAATATCACGCTATTGAGCCCAAAGAAAAGGAACCAGGGCCACTGCACTGAGAAAAGCTGTGGCCCAGTTAGTCACTGCTGCCTGTTCAGTGCTCGAGGGCACGAGTCATTTAATCTTCTTGCAACTGCTTCCCCACCTATTGAGTAAGAACAATATCTCCTGACTCCTTTGGGATCTCAGTTAATATTGATAAAGGTTATGCAAAAGACATGTAACCACCAAATATTTAGCAAATATTCCTCATATGGATTTTCTGTCTGTTTTGGTTGGATTTAATGCAGATGGTGACTTGGACACTGAAGTCTCAGGGTCTTGCTTCTGTAATATGCTGTGACCTCTTAGGAGAGTCATTTGATTTCTCAGTGTCCCAGAACAAACCTCTGTACCCCACCAATAGCTGCAGTTATGGTTTAGCCATTAAATTCACTCTCTTGCAGTGTAAACACCCCTCAAAACTGAGGCCCAGTGAAATTCTGCAGTGTTACAAAGAAGGCAAAGCTGTGTTTGAGGATGAACTGCCAGCACAAGGAGACTTGTGTGCAGGGTAGTGCCACACGAGGACAGGTTGCTCAAAGCTTGAATGTTTTCAGGAGTTGGCTGAACTGTGAGGCACTGCTGACCTGGGCAAGCCCTGGTGACAGCTGGATTTATGTGGGAGGACTAAATGACATCCTGAGGTCCCTCCCCAGCCACCCATTCTGTGGTTCAACTATTATAAACCTGACAGTGATACCACTGCTTCTTTTCTGGGAGAAAATAAAAAGAATTCCGTCTCTTAATGCCAGGTTTGATGCCAAGACTTACTCAAATAAGAACATTAACTGTGCTGTTAATCTGTATCTTCATTTCATAGGACCTGTGGTTGAGACTGCATGGGCAAGCTGTAGCAGGGAGAGGGATTTTAGAGCAGTGGCAAATATTCGCTCGAGTTTCATTTAAATGTATTTTTTAGGTTATTTTTTTTTTTTTAATATCTTGAACACTGGACGGTGCTCTGGTCCAAATCTGTCATCCTCCTCAAAATCACAATATACTGCTTTAGGGGTGTTTTCTGCACCTGGAGCCTGGCTGGACACATCTGCACTTGCTCTTAATGCTGGATGCAATAAATGGTTCTGCCTGGGCAGTTTTAACCCTGCTTCTGCTTTCTCTCAGTTGGATTCTCTGACATCCTTTCACAACCACAAATATTCGTCTTAATTAATAGTTGTTTTTTTGCTGGTTAAACGTGGAGTGCTTTTGCTTGCCAGCCTCTAGATTTACGTCCCATTCCTGGAAGAGCTAGAAAGTAGATTCCTGAAGCGAGATCCTCGAGGAGCTGGATATATCAGCTATCCCACTGCAGTGCGTGGGTGATGCAGGCACTGGGCCTTCATTTCCTGTCTGACAGGAGATGGTAATGAAAAGACATCCTCTTCTTAATCCTTTTTTTGTAACCTTCTAGCAGATGGGATCTGTCTTCCCACTCTGCTCTGGATCCCAAGTCTCACTGCTATTTATTGTTCCAGATCAACTGTGCAGAGTTGGGCTCTGGTTACTGACCGTGTGCTCCATGTTCATCTGCAGAAAACGCAGCTGTTGTCTCTATAATTTAAGAGAATTCAGGGTGTTTCCCTGTACCATTTGTTTGGATTACCAACAGGTTGCCAACTGGGACACCCCTGACTTGCAAAGCCCTACTTCTGCTCCCATTTTCTAGGGGAAAAACACTGATTCCATTCCGATAAGGGGAGCTGTACCTCTTATCTCTAGGGCGGAATTTTGTAACAGTGTTAAATTCACCTTAATGCAAGGATTCACGTGTCCCTTTCTGGGTGAGCAAACACTGCCTGCAGGGATAACAACACCCAGCTGTTTGCCAGGGGAGCCAGAGCTCCTGTGCCCCCAGACCCCGGCGTGGGGGTGCACGGCTGTGCCTCCGCTTATGAATATGTACAGAGCGGGCTCTGCCCACCAGCCTTTTAATGAGAGTGACATCAAAGCCCAAAGCCCTGCCTGCTGCCGGGGGGGACCCAGAATGCAACACACGCAGGGAGACGTGGAGGCAGCTCCGCTGGCATCGCTGCTGCTGCAGGCACAGACCCTCCATTGTCAGCCCTGGGGGGGCCCGGCCCTGCATGGGGGCGCGGGACAGGCCAGCAGCACGGGGCTGGGCGTAGGGGGTGTCCTGGAGGGGCACAGGGGGTGTCACCTGCAGGGCGGGCATCCTGCGCTGCCGGGGCTCAGGTGGGGAGCGGGGGGGCTGCCCCGTGAGCCCCCCGGAGCAGGGGGGAGATGAGCGCTCAGGATGAGCAGTTCCCAGCAGCAGCCCCTGAGCCAGCGGCTCCCTCCGCCGATGATGGCATGACCTGGTGGTACAGGTGGCTCTGCAGGATTGCCGGGGTCATCGGGGGCATGTGTAAGTATCCCCTTCCCTCGCAGCCAGAGGTTCCCCCTGGGCGCTGTTGCTGCATGAGAAAGCGCGTGTGTCCGGGGTCCTGCCACCTCTTGTCTGGGGTCTTGTTGGTGCAGGGGGGTCGTGCCACGAAAGCCTTTTGGGGTTATGGGTTTGTGTCTGCTCTGGACACTCGTGTGCTGCTTTTTTGGGTAGGAGGAGGAGCGGTGGCTGTGCCTGAGGAGGGATAGTTGTAGCTGCCCACGAGGGATGTGCTTTGTGCTCACCGAACCTGAACTTTGGCACCTGGGAGAAAGGGACATCACGGTGGGGGGGAACTGCAAATCCTTGAGTTTCTTCTTGGATACAGCACTCCCTGGAAGTGATGGGAGCAGCAGCTGAGCCCCTGGTACTGCAGGGGAGGGCTGTGGGCAGATAAATGAGATTTTACTGCAAGCACCAGGGTCAGGGTGCTCGTGCTCAGCAGGGTCAGGTCAGGGCTGGAAGGAGGGCCACAGGGTTTGGTTCATCTTATTTGACTTTTGGGTGTTTATATGTTCCTGCAACTTATTTTCTTTCCCCATCCTGACCGTTGGAGTGTGTTTCCCATCGCTTCTATTGCTGATTGCACAGGCCCTGCCTGTGGGGTTTTTTGAAGGTGAATAATGGACTTGGTTTGTGTTGTGTGTTTTTAAGGGGTTTGGTAGGACACTGAGAACAGAGCTGCAGACAGCAGAGCGAGTTGGCTGCGCTCTGAATTACCTGCTGCTGAAAAAAATTTTCCCAGGGAAAGAGTCTTTGCAACTTTGCCAGAAATCAGCCTGTCCTGGAGTGCTGTTTTGCTACATTCTGTGGAGAGATTAATAGCCTTTAAAAGCAGGAGGGACTGTTATGACCGCTTAGTCTGATCTCCTGCAGAGCACAGGATGGAGAATTTCTTCTGCTTCAGGTCCATGACTTCGAGTTAAACAAGAGGGTTTCTCAGCCAGTGCAGTCAGCCCTGATTTATTCCATCAGCTGTAGCATTTTATCTGATCCCCCTCTCTCCCTTCCCATGCCTGCCTCTTGCCTCAGGGCTGCACAAGCCTACGGTGCTTTCAGAGGTGACATTTGTGGGCCATCGTCTCCTTGGGCAGGCTGGCGACAGCCCTTTTTGGCCGGGCTGGCAAAACACGTGCTGCTCGTGCCCTTTCGTGCCCTGGGTGCTGAAATTCTGGAGGTGTGACAGGATTTGGTGGGGCTGCTCCGACGGGGCCAAACATCCCGGCCCCCTCGCCATGCCCTGCCGGAGGCCCCCGCGCTTCTGGCCCGGCCGCCGGCCAGGACACCAGCTGGGATGTGTCTGTGGAGCAGGTCCCAGGTGGGGGTTTAGTGGAGCAGCGTCTTTCCCACAGGCTGGGGCTGTAGCAGGAGCCCTGGTGCTTTTCCTGCAGTTCTGTCCCAGGCAGAGCTCAGGGGGTTCTGTCCCATGCAGGGTGAGGAGCTGGAGAGGGTGGGTCACACTGGTGGCACTGCCCACCTCGTGCTAGAGCAGCTCACGAGGGGCTCAAAAAGTGCAAGCCTCTGGAGACTTTTTTTCCCTCCCTCTCTGTCTTCGCGTGAATTATGCTTGGATTATTTTTCCAACCTTTTGTTCACAGCTCTGAGAACTCTTGACTTGTTTTTACAGGAAAGCCGAGAGTTTTACATATTTGGGTGAGTCTGGGAGAAGAAGCTTTTGGAAGAAGAGACAGGTTCTTAACAGGATTGCCAAAAATTTGGGCAGTGACAGCTTGTTCTGTAGGCCTGACTATCTCCCTCCACGAGGTTCATGAGGCAGTGAAACACAAACTCTCCTTATGAGCAGGGAAATGAAGGACTGTGGAAAGAGACAACCAGTGTCCCGTGCTGGTAACATTCCTCTTCAAAATCCTGCTTGTTCAGCATCACCTTGTTGAAGGTGGATGATTTGGAGAAGGGGTGATGAATAAAACAGCAAGGCTGGAGTTTGCTGCTATTCTCAAAGCTCATTATGAAAAAACAGAACTCATTTACAAGGATTGTGGTGCTGGATTATTTCTTACAGAAGGAAAAACGCCCTGCTGAAAGGAAGAGAAAGTTTGTTAGTGGAGGTGAGACAGGCAGACAACATCTGCCACATGCAAACACCTGCAGCCACAACTTGCTTAAGCCAGAAAAGTCCAGGGGCTGGAGCAGGAACCAGACAGACAAAGTTCAGGATCTGTCTCTGGCTCTTTTACACGCTGGCTTGGTGACCTTGGCCAAGTCCCTTCTCTCCCTTGTGTTCCTGTTTGTAATAGGATGAGGAGAGTCTGTGGCTTTTGTAAAATGCTCTAGGAGCAAAAATAGGCTTGTGTTGAGGACAGTGACCAGCTGCTGGAAATGAATAGAGCCTTTGTGGGGAAGGGTGTCCTTCCCCCCTCATTTTAGCTCCCAGTTATTTGTGCTTCCTCAGGGATTCGAGATGGGACAGCGGTTAAACAAATGGCAGAACTGTCTGTCTTCCATAGCTTACGTGCCACTGAGCATTGTCTGCATTTTAACCCTATCATGAGGCTCTGTTTTGCAGAAAGAAATCTCTGGCTTGGCAGCTCAGTCCCCCTTTGGCTGCTGAGGCAGGAGCTGATCCTGCCCCGGTGGGACAGGGATGCACCAGGCAGCTGTGGGATGTGCTGCTCTGCAAGGGAGGCCCAAGGTCACCAGCTCATTATCTGCCTCTGTGGCTGTTGGCAGCCACCTCTGAGTGCAGTGTTCCTGCGATCCCAAACCTTTGACTCCTTTCCTGCTGGTTGGTGCTCCTGCTGACAAAGGGACATGCTCAGCTCAGGCTCTTCCTGGTTCATTAGTCCATTGGCAAGCGGGTTGGTTGCTGAGCTGACACTGCTGCAGGGACACTTAGTGCTCAAGGGTTGTTTTGGGGTGTTTGAGGACCAAACCAAACCAGAACCCTGGCAAAACAACCCCTGGTTGGCTTGATTAAAAAAAAAAAAAAAAAAGGATAAGGCCAAAAATTTGCTTGGAAAAGAACATTCTGCTTCCCTCGGTTTGTTCTGTGGTGGAGACCAGCTGGGAACTGCCTGGACCTCTACACTGCTGTGCTGCTCAGCCAGGCAGAGTCCTGCCCCAGCCCTGGCTGTGTTTTGGGGATAGTTCACAGGTTTTGCTGCTCTGCTAATCATGAGGTGCCAGAAAGTCATTCAGCATTATTGTCAGGAGTGTGCCTTCCTGGGGAAGAGCGAGTGCCACAAGCCTGCAGTGCTTCCCCTGAGCTCCCCTTCCATCAGCATCCCGGGGTTTGTTTGCCACAGAGAATTAGAGCCCCTGGTGTTGTGCCCTGCTCTCTGTGCTGCTCCCAGCTCCCAGCAATCCTGCTTGCCGTTGCTTTTCCAGCTCTCCAGCTGTTTGCATGTGTGGCTTTGGAGCAGATCATCCCACCCCAGTGCCTCAGTTTCCTCTGCAGTGACACTGTCCCTCTGGGGAGAATGAGAAGCGCCCTTGGAGCATGGATGTTAATATATCCTCTGGCATTTCTGCTAGCTGATCTTGCTCTTGCAGGATTCTCCAAAATATTTTGGGTCCCGTGGAATTAGTTCTAGGAAATGTTTGAAATTAACCTTGTTTGGTGTTTCCTAAAACCGGGAGGTCATTTGCTTGTGGGATGACCTTCGGTCGGTCCTATCATTGCCTGCAATTCTGCATCCCAGCCTGGTAAATAAGGATAACCACTTTTAAAGGAACTTTGAGGATTCAGCAGTCACTGCTTGAAAGAAACCTTGCAAGCATATGCTAGGCTTTTGAAGGTCAGGGCTGCTCACAGCAGCTCTGCTGAGGGATCCCCTGAGCAGACACTCCTGAAATCCCCGATCCCAGGCTGGTCTCGTTCTCAGAGAGGGACTGTGCTGCTCTCCACTGTGCTGCTGATCATCCCCAAAACGACCTTTAAGGGCTACAGAATTAATTTTAGCTGGAGTTTTACAGGCTGGTGTTGTTTACTGTGGCCTCAGCCCGTGTCTCTGCCCTCCCTCCCCGGGCTCGGGTTCCCGGTGTGCAGCGGCCGCCGTCTGGCATCGGCAGAGGGAAGGGGTTGTATCAAGTGCCAGGAACACTCTGCAAGTTTAATGAGGCAGGAAGGAGGTGGATGCAGCCTCTGCTTGGTTGCTGGTGCCTGGTTCCTCTCCTTGTGTTAAGAGTCAGGAGCTCTGGGGCTGTTTTGGGCTCTGCTTTATTTGTATTAGCAGAGACCCAAACTTGGCTCTTTTCTGCCCGTCTCTAGAGGAGCTGCACAGGACCAGCAGCATGTGGTAGAGACAGGGTTCACCTCTGCTCTGTTTATTGTTTGCTTGTGTGCCAGTCATGTTTTTGCTGAACTGTCCCTGTGCTGCTCAGAGGTGGTGCCTGCTGGCACTGCTTTGTTCACCCCAGGACAAAGCAGTAATTCCTTGGCACATAAAAATCAGGTGCACGTAAAAATCATGTAAAAGCAAACACTCTGTTGTTCTGCACAAGGGAAATAGTTGTTCAAGTGTCATGCTCAGACATCAAGTGCTTGGAGCAAAAGGATACCCAGCCAGAGGAACTGGAAAGAAACCCTCTCCCGGGCATCCCAGGCTCTTTTTTTGGGCCATCAGAACTTTCCACCCACCCTCCTGTGCTTCTCTGCAGTGCCTAGAGGTGCTGGCCAAGGGCTGCTGATCGTAGGCACGCAGGGTGGTGTTCGTGGTCACTGAAAACCTCTTTCTTTCCAGCCTGTGCCATCGCTGGTCTCTGGAACTGTGTCACCATCAACCCCCTGAACATCGCAGCCGGCGTGTGGATGATGTGAGCAGGGTTTCCTTTCGTTTTTCTGCTGGGAGGGAGGTTCTGTTAATTAGACTCCTCTGAGAAAGGGACAGAGCTGCTCTACTTGGGCAGTGGGTGGGAGCGAAACATCCCTCAAACTCTGGGAATTCCCAGATCTTGCTCTGCCAAGCGGGTTGAGATACTGAGTTTATTCTATTTATGTTATTTCTTTGTGTCTTTTTGGGTAAATACTCAGATACCCATTACAAAATAACACCAGGGTTTGGGAATTATCAAGGAGAAGGGGGGGAGCACCGTGGGGTCCAGCCTCACCATTCCCTCTGCCTGCGTTTGGGCGTGGAGCAGGTGGTCTCTGGGGGGCTGGGGGGGCACTGCTGACCCCCACTCTGGGCTGGATTAACTCTGGTTTGCTCTGTCCGGAGGCTCAACGCCTTTGTCCTGTTCCTGTGTGAAGCCCCTTTCTGCTGCCAGTTCATCGAGTTCGCCAACGCCGTCTCCGCCAGGGCGGACAAGCTGCGGGCCTGGCAGAAAGCGGCTTTTTACTGCGGGTGAGGACGCTCCGGGGTCCTGGTGGGGATGCACGTGGGCACAGCGTGATGGGTGAGCCCCCCTGCACCCCGTGGGGAGGGCAGCCAGGCTCTGAGGGCTGCCTCTGTCTTGCAGGATGGCCGTGTTCCCCGTCGTGCTCAGCCTGACGCTGACCACGCTCTTCGGAAACGCCATCGCCTTCGCCACCGGGGTCCTTTACGGTCTGTCGGCGCTGGGCAAGAAGTAAGAGACGTTTGTCTGCTTGGGGAGGGGGAGGTGGAGCTCCAGCCCTCACCCCATCTGCCTCCCTAAGCCACTGCTTTCCTCTTGCACTAACCGTGCTTTCGGGTGTAAATGCTCCCAGAGAAAATCTCCCTGGCATCATCTCGGAGCCCTGGGGAGGAAGGCCCCAGGGTTTGCTGAAGCTCTGAGCTTCTGGAGTTCAGACTAGGTTGCCCTGAGGGTCCCAGCCCTCTTTCTGCAGCTGTTGAGTGGATGGGCCCAGCTCTGGGGCAACGAGCAGCTTTGGTGGGGGGTTGGAGAGGGCCAGCAAGTCTCATCTCACTGTTGGCATCCCTCAGCACAGATGGCCAGGGTGAGCCAGTGGAGCTGGGCCCCAGCTGGGAGATGTCTCTGCCAGGGGCTGTACCCACCATGGTGGGCACCTGGAGTTCACATCCCCACTCTGTCCCTTCTCTCCACAGAGGAGATGCCATTTCCTACGCTCGGATCCACCAGCAGCAGAAGCAAATGGATGAAGAGAAGCTCACGGGGACCCTGGAGGGACAGGCTCTCTGAGGCACACAGGGTAACCTCTCCTGGACACTGAGATGGTGAAGATATGGAAATCCACTCTGCCCTTCCCAGTGCCTGCTCCCCTCTCTGCTACACTGCAATTTCCCTGGACACTGCAGCACCTGGAAATCTCAGGGGCTGGGGCAGGCTGTGCCCTCTTCTCACACCAGCAGCCAGTCTTCAGCATGTTGGTCCCTCTCTCCTTCTCAACCCTCAACCAAATATCTCACAGTCCCTTAATTTTTTGATATTTTTTTCTTTTTGCTGCAGAGGTGCTGGCTCTCTGAGTGCTGCTTTCCCAGCCTGAACAGGCAGCCTTTTTTGGGGGTGCCCCTTTGGGAACTGCTCTCTGGATGGGTGGGGAGGGACAGAGGTGACCTGCCAGCTCCTTGCCTGCACTGATCTTGTGGGAAAGGACTTCTAGAAAAAAAACCATAAAGACAATAACCATCTCTGCAGAGGAGCTACCAGAGGTGCTGGGGCAGATCCTGGGACCTACAAAGCACAGTCCCTGCTCCCTCTGGATACAGCTGCAGGCAGTTACTGTGATTTACTTGAATTACAAGAATTCATTTCTTTGTCTTAATAAGGGCACTTTTCTTAAGCTTCACTCTTTTACTGGGGCAGAAGGGAAACAATGTTTGCTGTACCTCAGCTGGAAAAGGGTGTTGTTGCTTGAGCCAAGTGGGATTTTGTGCTGGTGTGAACATCCTTCTCTTTGCTTGCCTGGTACAGCCTTTGTCTTTGGGCTCGTGTTGTTTTTGCATCAGTCCTGAGTTGGGTTTGCATGGAAGGGTTGAATATCCTTCCTGTGCAAATAGAGAGGAGGCTGCACCGTTTCATTGTGGACAGCTGGGGTGTCTTGCTTCATTATTCCAGGCTCTATCAATGGTTTTCATGTTGTATTTTCTGTTTGCTTTGTACCAGGCAGCACAGAACTGTTTCAGACCCCCCTCTTCTCATCACGGTTTCTTCTGAGGGTTTTAATTTATTTGATTTTTACATGGTTGCTTTTTGATTAGGAAAAAGGGGAATAATTTATTTCTAGTTATTTCAGTATTTTGGTGGGACTCATTTTCTCTGGATATAGGAGAAAGGAGTGCTCTGTTTCCTGTCCTTCAAAGGGCTGCCTCTTTCACCAGGGGTCTCTGAACCCAGGGACAGCCCTGGCTGCTGTAATGGGAATGCTGCAAAATCCAATTTCAGCCTTCAGAGCATTACTTAGACTTTTGAAAAGTGTGTTGTCCTTTGACCCCTTTGTCTTGTTCTGGGTCGCTGGCTTGACAAAGTGTGTTTTCCCCCTCTTCTGGGAGAGGGAAGGAAGGAAAACTAGGCTGTAACTGCTGTATTTGAGCTGCCACAACCCTTTGTGGCCCCAGCTGAATCCCTGGGGAGCAGAGGGGTTGTGCTGTGGCCTGAGAAAGGCTGGAGGCTGAGTGCTGTCTGTCCTGCAGGGATGGGTGCTGCAGGAGGAAGGCACCACATCCAGTGGGATGCTCCAGTGGGAATAGCCTCTCTGCTCTCCACAGGGTGTCCCTGTGCAGCACCTCCACTGGGGAGTTCAAGGGCAGAGTCCTGCCTTGTGAGCAGGACATGTGCTCTGATTTCAGGGGGTTTGGGGAGTTCTGTAGTGTTTAGTAGAGGAATGTTGCAGACTGGTGCACGTAGCTACCAGCATGTCTTTGGTAGTGACTGCTTTGCTCTGTGAGTAGTTCCACAGTAGCTTTAGTGACAGGAGGTGAAAGGCAAAGCAGAGGCATTGGGGTAACACTTGCAGGCTGGTCTGAGGGGCCACAGAACTGGTGGGACCCTCGTGCCTTCATCTGACTGTCCTGATGCCAGGGGCCAGCAGTGGTCCCTGGGGCTGGGGCAGGTGGGTGCTGCTCCAGGTCACCTGGAGGGCTCCCTGGCACAGACAGGCCCTCTCTGCTCCCTTGGATGCCAACAGTGCTGTCATGGTGTGTTTTGTGGCAGAGGGTCCTGACCCTGGGGCTGAGGCAAGTGAACAATCTACACCAATCTGCCACTGTGAGTGGGATGCAAAGCTCAGCTCTGAGCTGAAAATGGGCCTCAGGGACTCTTCTGTAAGAGCCAAGCTGGAGCCTTCAGCCACAATGATTAAAGTGTCTCTGTGCCTGCCACAAGTGGGGGTGTCTCAGATCTGTGCTCCAAGGGTGCTGACTCCTACAGGTGCCTGTCTGGAGTGGGAACTCTTGGGAATTTTGGCTGTCTGATGCAGCTGAAACCAAGCCAGATGCTGCCATCATTGCAGACAGGCTTGGTGACAGCACCCATGGCTTTTAAGAGTTGTAGCAACAGTTAGTGGATGGTCTCACCTCCGTGTGGGCAAGAGACTGTTTTGTGGAGATAGAAAGGACCTTTAGAGTAGTAGCATCACAGTAGTTAATATGCCCATTCACAGTGCATGGTGGTTATTAGTTGTCTTTAGAGGCACCCTCGGGGTGCCTGGAGCTGTGTAAGGACAAATGAAGTTCAAACCCTGCTCTGGAGGTTTTACAGGCTCAACCCAATCCCTGCTGGTGGCATCCAGGCTGGATGGCTGATCCACGGGCTGTCTGTGGAAGAGGTTCTGCTTGCCAGGTCTGGAAAAGGCTTTCTGGGAGACAATGGGATAGAAAGTTTGTTATGTGAGAGCTGAGGAGTGGGTGATGCATTGGCTACAGCGAGCTGTTGACACCTGGGCACTGGCAGCACACGTGCCCCTGGCAGGGCCTGTTACATCACGTGAGCATTTACAAAGAGTGCAACTCTTCCATGTCCTGTTCAGCCAGGAAGCTGACAGCACTCGTGTCCCCTGTCCCCTGGGGCTGCCCACTGGGCGTGAAGGGCAGAGCAGAGCTCGCTTTCTGCTGCAGACCCAGACCTCACTGCTCTGGACAGGAGCTGGTTTTGTAACACCAATTGATTCTCTGTGTGTGCAGTGAATAAAAAGACCATTCTACCTCTGGAAAGAGCCACTGTGATTTCTCAGACTCTAAAATGTTGTAGCAAAAACCATCAGACTTTCTATACCGAAGAAAGGAGGTCACTCAGAAAATACTTCTCCAGTGAGGTTCTCTCAGGACCTGAAGAGTCCAACCTCATTTCATATTTGGGCATTTTCTCCTTAGGCTGAACTTCCTGGGAAGCTCAATTCATGTTTGTCATTTTTTCCTCAGGGAAAAAACACCAACTGTCTTCAGGGAGGGGTTTCACTGAAGATATCAAGACCTGGTCCACGGCCATGTGAGAAAAAGAACGTTCTAGCACAGGGCTGCCAGAGATCCTGATCTTCAGAAGGTCAGTGGAAACCAGAGGCTCTTGAGAGCTCTGGTAGTCAGGCCACGCTTAGAAACAGTCAGATTCCAGCCAGGGCTGAACATCTTTCTGGAAAAGGGTCTCAACAGCAAAGGGTAGGTTTAATGCTGAATGTTCTCTGTGTTTTTTATTTCAATCCACCTCTCTTCCTCTGTCCCAGGCTGCTTTAAATTAATGCTAAATGCTAATGTGATAAAGCACATCTTCTCTTAGGTGATTTCTCTCACCACCTGCTGCAGGAGATCTAAATGCCAACTGGCATATCTTAAGGGCTGGGTCACGGGTGCTGTTTTACCCCCTGCTTCCTTGTGGCAGCAGGTTTAATGTTCCGAGAATGGGAGGGCACAGGCATCTCCACCAGCCCTCGGGGTGCCAAGTGCATTTCAGGAGGTTGGACAAATGCCTGGGCACATCATCTCCCAGCTCAGTCTTTGTTTTTCTGCCCTTCTGGGAGGAGTTAGGTTGGATGTGAGACTCAGCAAGGCCATTAGTTCCTCAGCGTCATAACCTCCTCCTGCAGCTGTGTTTTACCCAGGGTTAGGCTCTAAAAGATAATTGAAAAAAGACCTTAATCTTGCAGGACACACAGGAAAGGGGTAAGAGCAATTTGCTCCTGACTATGCAGCTGAAATCTCAAAGTGATGGAGGGGGAGGCTCCACACAACTGTGATGGAGGCACATCCACCTTCCTCTTTGTGGATGAGTAAAACCCTGGGGTGGGAAGGACCCACCCCCTTACAAAGTGTTGTCAGTACTCACTGTGTCTTTCCTACAGTGTATCACTTGCACTACAGCTGAATGTTTGTCTGTTCCTGTTCTTTTGTCCTGGATTTTCTTTGTGAACTGTATTTGGTCCTGTTCATTAGGCTTCTAGTGTAATGTGTGTTTTTAGAGCAATAAAAACGTGGCAGCTTTTTATACAAAATACCTGGCTCTGCCTCTTTCACAGTCCTTGAGTACACAAGACTCATGCAGAAGCTGCAGGCTGCTGTGCTCCCCTTGCCACAGTCCTGCTCTGCCTCTCCTGTCCCACCCACCAGCAGCTCTCTTCTCCACAAATCAAGGCAACGTCTTGCAGTTGGAGGCAAAACTGTTTTATTCTTGCAACTACACGATGAGCTTTTGCCAGAACGGCTCCAGCTGTAAACTCTGCTCCAGCCAAACCCTCAGGCTCTCAGGCTGCTTTGGTGGCTGCTGAGCAAAGGATGTCCGTGCTCTCCTGTCCACAGCCTCGCCTTTATTTTCCAGGACACCTTTATCTCCACCCTGGCACTGGTTCCCCGGCCCCATCCACAGATTGACACGTTGCCCAGAGAGCAACAGGTAGTGTTGAACGACGGGAAGAGAAGGTAAAGTTCCAGCTGGCACCTTCTGCACCCAAAGCCAGACGATCCTTGCCGCCTGTTCCTGTCCCAGCGCCGGCACAGGGAGCTCCAGCCTCCCCCTCCAGCAGCACCACGTTTGCTTTGCCCTCGAGCCTGTGGACGGGCAGCCTGGCACGGCTGGTGGTGGCAGCTCCTACCTCAGGAACGACCTCCGGCCAGTCCTGAAGAAGGCCTCGATCTGCTCCAGGGACCTGCCCTTGGTTTCGGGGACGCAGCAGCCCGTGAAGAAGATGTTCCCAGCACTGATGACGGCGAAGAACAGGAAGGGCACCTCGAGGCCGAAGGCGTTCTGGAAGGGGGGACAGAAGGCAGGCGTGAGCTGGTGCAGAGAGGGGCCGAGGAGGGGCTGCTGGACGCCCCCCTGGGCAGTACCCACCACGACTGGCAGGAAGAACTGGGTCAGGGTGAAGGCTGTCAGCCAGCTCACGATGACACAGAGGCCCGAGGCCACCCCTCGGGCTTTCAGAGGGAGGATCTCCGACATCAGCAGCCAGGTGATGGGGCCCCAGCCCAAGGCATAACCTGGAGGGGAGGAGGGTAAGGTGAGGCTGTTGAGGCTTTGAAGCTCACTGAGGAGTGCAGAAGAGCCCTGTGAAATCCTGCCCTGCAACCCCAGCAATCATTATCTCCCCCACTCCTGCTGTCAGTCCTCAAAGCAACTTCAGTTGCCATCTTTGTTTATCTTCAGGGTCGTCTGCCTGCCTTCCAACTCCAAACCCAA